TTCTTATATTTATTTTTATCTGCCTTTATTTTTCCTTGCCCTCTGGTTCCCTGTAATTCGTGGTCACTGATTAAATATTTCTGATATTTCCCATTTTCTTGACACCTGATGATTGAACTTGATTCTTTTTTATCCTTTAGATTTCATTAATTTAACCAGAATGCTGTAGATAAGTTATTAATGAGATCAGTTTTTATTTATTTCTGACATGTAAGAGATAGAATGTTTCAAAAAAAAGAAGAAATTAATGAAAAAAATATTGAAAAAAAAAATACAAAAAGGAGGGGCAGGTTATTTTTAATGTCAACCCCACGCTATGAGATAAGTTGAATAGTAGAAGATATGAAATGCAAGATTTGAATAGCCGAAAGTTAGAAAAACATTGTTCAAATTTATTCTCATGAGCTAATTTCTGACACATTCATATTAAAAGAACGATTGACGTCAAATCTTTCCACCACATTCAGAATCATTAAATTTTTTTTCTCATAATGCAAGCCTGAAAATTGAAACTTGTGTCAAAGTTAATTCTGTTTATTTATATAACGTCAATTCACAACATGTCATCTCAAGGTACTTAAACCAGATCACACAGTCAAATTGATTCAAAGTCTTTATATCTAAGAAAAACCAGTTGATTGCATCGGCTCATTGGCTCAAAGACAATACCTCACACTATGCATGCTTGTAGCAACAGTGGAGAGGAAAAACTCCCTTTTAACAGGAAGAAACCTTCAGCAGAACCAGACTCAGTGTGAGCAGCCATCTGTTGAGGCCGAAAAAAAAAAAAAAACTGCGGAGACTATGAGCAGAGCTTTAAAAGGACGAGCCGGTAAAATTTATTTAAAAGCATACGTTCACTAAAAAAAAAGCAAATCCAAATCAGAAAAATAAGACATGAAATTACCTGCAAAAAGAAAAAAGGCCACATTACCACATATAAGCTTTATCAAAAAGGAAAGTTTTAAGCCTACCCTTAAAAGTGGACAGGGTGTCTGCCTCACGAACTAAAACCGGTAGTTCGTTCCACAGGAACGCCTGATGGCTATAAGATCTGCTTCCCATCCTTTTTTTTTTTAGAAATTCTAGGAACCACTAGTAAACCTGCAGATTAAGAGCAAAGTGCTCGGAAAATAGGGAATGATCATATCTGTAATATAAGATGGAGCTTGGCCATTTAAGGCTTTATTTGTCAGAAGGAGGATTTTAAATATGTGTAAATATGTTTAAAAATATTTAAAATCTGCTTTTACACTAGAAAGAAATCAATATGTTTTATATAATTATTTATTTACATGTGTGTTGAATATATAATAACCTTAAGTGACACATTTTAGAATATGAATAAAAAAAATTGTAAATTAAGTGATGCAACAGCTAAAAATCTTTTAAAAGAGTCTAAAGTGACTAGTTCCCTCAGTTTAAGGTCTCTTTTTTTTTCCCAAGGCTCCAAGCACAAGGAGCAGCGAGCTGAAAACCAGTTTACCCAGCTCCAGTCGGACCTTTGTAACTGACAATAAAAAATTGAGCAGAGCAAAGAATAGAGTAGGTGCATTTAGTAGAAATATATATTCCTAATTACGGCAACAACTGACAAAGTTGACATCTATAAATAAGTATATGTGCTTTGAAGGCTAAAGATGGCCAACTAGGACAATCATAAAGCATACAGTGATGTCTTAGAGCTCTTTGATGGGCAGTATTTACAGCTGAGTCTATGATCTGATGACTACCTGTACAGTACAGCCCCTGAAATCCAACAATGTTATGAATGTTGGGAGCAACAAGCTTCTTCCTGGCTTTAAAGTACAGATGAGCCCAGAATCTGAAAAAAAGAGGCTTAGCCAAAATTTAAAACTGTTTACAAGTAATTTAATGTTGAAGGTGTTAGGTTTATTCTTTATACATCATGTGCATTGTTACTTTGTTAGCCAGGTTAGAGACAGTAGAAGGCCTTCCTTCACATTGTGGATGTCACTGTGTGTAAAGAGGTCATCTATATAAGACAGCCTTCTTGTCTTTTAAAGATACAGAGGATATGGGCACATCTTGGAGCCGGACTGATAGAGGAGAGCTATCTGTAATCCTTGGGCATGGATGGCGTGTGATCCAACACATAGTCTCATGAGGTATAAGAAGGAGAAGATGACCTTGTGCTAGGCTCAATCTTTGCCAGACGCTCGCTGACGTTTTTTTGAGCCCACAGCTGTGCAAGCTCCAAGCACTTTTCTCTGTCCTGTAACGACCTGATCTGGAATAATCTTTGTTGCTTTTTTACTCCTGTTTTTATAGTCCTTTTTTATATGGTTTTACCAAGTTTGAGTTAAGAGTAGAAAATAACTTGGTCCCAGGAAAAGAACCGGAAGGGAAGTCCAGAGGCACAGCTGCCTTCAAGGGGACATCACTTCCTCATTTAACAAAGATAAAGAACATTTATTTTCATTCCAGATTCTAGGATATTTATAACGGCTAACAGATTGTATTTGAGCCCCAGAAAGATTGTGATCTGTAGGAGCATCTGGGAGTTTCCTTTTTCATTTAAGTACAAAATGAATTTAGTTTTATTTGAATTTAGGATGAGATTTAGAAAAGAGAGTACATTTAGCTTTTTGTTGCTATTGCCTCATGGAGAGGAACAAGTATTATAGGTGAATCCAGAAAGAGTTAAAATTTGTTCCATCAGTTCCTGGAAGTTATTGTTGAATAGCAAAAGTGGCCCCATGGGAATTTAGAGAGACCAATGAACCTAACAGTCCCTGTTTTAGAATGAAGGAAGAAACAGCAAACCAATAGAAGAACCCATGCACAGATTGGGCACACATGCATACTTACTGCAGCAGATCCCAGCCCATGATTCAACTCCAGAACCTTCTTGCTGTAAAGTAAGGGTGCTAAATACCGCAACAACCACTCTGTCATCAAGCAGGTCTGGAGAACATCTTTGAATGACCAATTGTAGTTACAGTTGCCATTTATTCTTAATAAAATTTAGTCTAACTTTGGCTGTATGTAATGGTTCTTCCTGATTGAAATTAAAGTCTCTGCACCATTCTTGAATCCTTTACAGCAACCTCAAGCTCTAATGCGACTGACAGATTAACTCACCTGAGTTGTAAACTTCGGCACCCACTAAAGAGTAAACCTTTTTAGCTGCTTCTCTCAGTTAATCTTGCTATGTATGGGATAGTATGGATTTTAGGTGTGTTTCCATTTTTTTTGTTTACATTTTGACATATAGCTTCAGAAAAGCTTGGTGGAAACGGTACAATTCGAAAAAAAAAAAAAAAACTAAAGTTTCTGGCTTTTGTATCACTTGTATCACTTTGCTTTATCCAAATGGAAATGTCACAAGTTTGTGAATATTTACTGAGAATAAACTGTACAAATTCACATTTGTTTAGTGGTTTTAACATTAAATTCAGTAAAATGCAGTGGCACGGGAAGGGGGGTGCTGCGGGGGCTGCAGCCTCCCTCGTCATAGCATCAGCCCCCCATGGTGGGGGGCTGTGGAGTAACATAATATTGTACTTAAAAACATGAAATTATTTATGTATTTATTTTT